GAAGAGTTGGTGCGGGAGGAAATGCTGCCTGGGCTCCGGCCGAGGGCAGGGCTTTTTCTCCCCGGGTTCACTGGGACGGAGCCATTCGCCCAAACTGCTTGACGTGCTGCCCGAGCGCCCCGCAGCCTCTGACGGGCAGACGCCCCGACCTGCCGGGACAATGAGAACTGCATAAGGTGGGACGCACTGAGGTTATTACATTCATTTTTGTGGTTTTAACGGTATTCTTTCTGCCCCGCAAATGAGGGAGAGGTGGCTGTGTTTGAAGTTGAAATATATACTTAGATTCAGAAGTTACTTCATTCAGTTTGTCTTAAAGACAGATGCATTTGTTGTTCCCAAACTTTTATTCAGTAGGACTTGTTTAATAGTAACGTAAAGAACAGCTCAGGCCTATCGTGGTAGGTTTTTTACTTAAGAATTATTTTATTATAATAGTTTAATCCTATTCTTCAATGTGTCTTTATTCTCTTGTAATAGCTCTCACATAGTGTATGTAGCTATTCCAAACACTTAAAAACTTCAGGGGGTAGCCAAGTTAGTTTTACAGAAAAGCAACATGAAATGGTCTTGTAGCACTTCATAGACTAACAAAACATGTAGATGGTATCATGAGCTGTTGTAGGCACAGCCTGCTTTTTCAGATGACTGGAGCTCATGATACCAAAACTTAGAAGGACAGCCACTGCCCCCTGAAGTTTACAGTGTTTGTAGTGGATGACATCATCATCATCATCAATTCAGATTACATACTACTCTGGGCAAGGATCTGCCACACTTTCTTTATAGCAACTAGTAGGTCTGAATCAACTAATTATCAGTATACCGTGAACTATATAAATATGCTTTGCTCTTTGCATTGAAGTGTTCATAATTGGAGTCAGATTATATAGCTTCAGAGGGGTAGCTGAGTTAATCTGTAATAGGAAAAATTTAAAAAAACAACGTAGACTAGTAGTATCTTAAAGACTAACAAAACATGTAGATGGTATATGAGCAACTGGGGGCGCAACCCACTTCTTCAGATGACAAAAGTATTAGAATTCCAGATCCAAGAATAAATGGGGGGGGAGGGGGAGGGGGAAAAAAGGAGGGTGAAAGGAGAGAAAAAATAGAGACAGTGAGTAAATTGTTCAAATAGTTACAACAGGCATAGTTTATCCATGTGATACATAGATGCATGGACATACTGAATGTGGTGCAATATCCTTCATTTTTCACATATCTTGTATGTGATGGGAGAGAAGTTTGGTGCCACTACTGTTAGTTTTGTTCTTTAAAGTCTTGATCCTGAAACTGGCATCAGTCAGGTGGAGCCCTGCTCCGAGTCTTACTAAGATCAATTGTGTTCCAACCAGACATAGGGGTCTATCCTTGTTGAGCCAGTTGCTGGAATGGGGTCTGAAACTTAAGTTATACAAATGCACAGTCTATACATTCAAGTGTGCTAGAGGATTATAATGGAAAAGAGAATTATGATAGCTCAATATTGGCTTCATTTAAGATTAGCATTGCTATTTTCAGTTTGTTCAGAGTGTAGATCGTAATTAAAACTGGAACACTTTGGATGCCGAGTCATGCATACAAGACAATATCCATAACCTCAGCGAGGAATATAAACTGCCCCTTTATGAGTTTAGTGAGATTGAACTAATTTGGATTTATTTTTGTATTTATTTTAATAATATATATTTATTACTACCACCTGTGAAGCTACTGCTGCAAGTATGTCAAAATGAGAGTTCCCTCTGTTTCACATGGTGAACAAGAATAGTTATTTTGTTTTTATAAACTTAGGTTTTTTGTTCTTTGAAATTAAATTTCATCTTTTTAAACTTTTTGTAAAGTAAATGTATATAAATACTCCTAGTACATTTCTGAACAGGAGTAAAACATATACAATCTTAAAAATCGGGAGGCCTGCAGAGAACTAATATTACTAAGCATCTCCCAAAGCTAGTTATCATTCTACTACATTTTGTGGTGCTAATTGTATTGTCAGTATGTTTACAGAGACAGAATATAGGTTTTAAGGTTTTTAAAAAAATATTTGGTTCTCTAGCTGCAGTTAGATATATCTCTTGTAGAAGAAATTTGTGGCCAGCCATTAGCTGATTTGAGAGAGTGGTGTTAGGACTAAAGAGATGTATTAATAACAAAACTAGTAGATTTTACTTTCATTTTTGTTTTGTGTTCATGAATTGTAATAATCAGAAACTTTTCTCCAAGAGTTCAGCAGCTACATAATGCTCTTAGGTGTTCAGAAGTTACCTTTTGATAAACACCACAATTAGCTGAAATTGTTACCCACCCTCCCAATTACTCTGATCATTCTTTCTATACTAGCTCAATCCAGCTGCCATCAAGTTTTGTCATGGGACAACCTGAAAGCTAGATTTAAAAAAAAAAAAAAAAAAAGATCCAGATTCTATAATTGGATCTGTGTGGGCCCTTCAGTGGGGACCTGGCTTCAGCATTTTGGCCTATCATACAATTCCACAGTACACAAACTTTACCCATGTGTTTCATTGCTGAACAGATTTTCCTAATTTTTTTAAATAATTGGATGTCTCCTCAGTTATGTAAATTATGCTTTTTTAAACAAAGCTTAGGGTCTTATAATGAATTCTGGAAATATCAAAGGAAACCAAGTTTTAGCTCTATTTTCACTCTTAATAATAATAAATTAATAATTTTAAAATCTCAACTTTCTTACAAGTCTTTGAACTAAATGTAGTTTGTTTTATAACTGAAAATAAATTTGGAACTTCCTGCAAGATTGTTCAAAATACAACTTACACATGAACAGGGATGTAAGTGAATGGAAAATGTTTATTCTAAAGTATTGGAGTTGCTTGGAACCATTGATGTGGACCATGGTTATTTATTTGTATTACACCAATAAGCTCCATTTGAGATCAGGGTCCTATTGCATTAGGTAATAGTGCTTGTTGTGAAGAGCTTACAGTATAACTAGACCAGATAAAGTGTGGGAGATTGAAGTAACACCCCTACTTTGCAGATGAAAACTTCATTTTTAAATTAAGAAAACCAGTATTTATTTATATTTAGTTTTGACCGAATTCAATTTTTATTTTTATAATTTCAGTGGATAATATCTATTTATTTTGAGCATTTTTTAGATTTGTATAAATTTAATTGTTGACATTTGTGTGAAGTTATGAGTCTTAAGTACTGACCTCTAATTTCATCATTTTAAATGTTCAGTTTCAGGAAGCTTTGTGGACCGGGGATTATTTAGTGGCAGTAGAACATTGAGATTAAAAAAATTCAAGCTTTAGAACTGTTAAAATATAACTATGTCAAAATATATACGAAGTAAATATCTAGGATTTGTTGATTTTTTTTTTTTTTTTTTCTCATCCATTTGTTAGTCCATTTGTAGTGAGTCTGATTCTAAATCACTGGATTTTGACTGTTTTCAAGAAGTGTTTTTTCTTTCTTTGCCTGGCTATACATTTTGGTTACTGTTGACTGAAATAGTTTTGTTTCATGACACTGACATATTACCTATTAAAAATAATCTTTCTAAAACAATCTCTTTATATATAAAAAAGGTTTTTCCTGCCATGTGATAGAATCACATCAGTCTCTCTGGCTGTGAAAGTAGCCAGAAAGAGGGGGGCTGGCGAGCATAACAAGCAGGAGGCAGTCCCCTAACATTTGTTTAATTTACAAATCTTAATATGACATACTGAAATTTATACAAATGCAATTGTATGGTTATAATCATAAACATTCAAGATGGTGAGTGAGATGTTGTGATTTCTAGAGTTCTGAATCCCATTGTGCTAGGACCTGTACACACAGTAACTAGTGAGGGCTCTTTTGTTGCAAACTCTCATTCATCTGACTAGTCTAATAATTGAAGTCATGGGAGGGTACTTGTATGAGAATTTTACGGGATCAGGCCCCAAGTTTACTGTAACAAGTGTGGTTAGTAGATTAAAACTGGGATGTTGATGTACTTGTTGCTTAATCTATGAACCATCAAGACAGCTGTGCTCCTTTAGAACAGTGCAGATCTCAAACCTCAGAGCAAAGCATGTGAGAGTTGGCAACAAGGCATTCTCTGTCAAGAGGATGCAGCTATGAACCAGTTTTCCAGAGGAGATGTGGCAAATTTGGACTCTTTGAAAACCCTGTAATGCTTTCCCTTTTCACAGAGCCTTTACATCATAATTGATACAATTAAAACACCTCTTAGTTCCAAACTGTTACTAACCCTTACCTATCAACACCACAGAAATCCTTAAGTAGAGTTCTAATTCCAGAAACAGAAGTACCAGAAACTCAGTGATGTCCATAACCAATTATTTTGCTCTTGCTATTGATTTTATATGTTGCTTGGATACTACAACAATGGGCAAAGTATAAAACCCTAAAATGGATGGATTGTTGGAGAGATGATAATAGCGGGTGGTACAATTGAAGGTGGGAGAGAGGCTTGTATGGAAAAGGTGGTGAAGTTATTTCTTTTTGCAGATATGCATCATGTTAATATAAAATATCATATATGGAAATTTATACTTTTTTAATTGGATTGGGTCAACTGTATATTGAGAGAGAGACTTAAAAACATAACTAGTAGTCCAGAAGACTCTTGGGTAGTATCTGATGTGGTGTTGTGTGTATGGGTGTTAAAATATGTTTAATTTTGTAAATTTGTAACCCCTGTAAATTTCACTGGTTACACGTTTACATATAGGGGAGCAGGTGGGAGCCAGCTCCTTGGGAGCATTGGCTCCCATCTGCCCCCCTCTCTTTTCTCCCCTCCCCCACTGCCTCTATGGGAGGCAGCAGGGTTGGGGGGGAAGCGACTCCAAGGATCCAGTGGGTGTTAAAATATGTTTAATTTTGTAAATTTGTAACCCCTGTAAATTTCACTGGTTACACGTTTACATATAGGGGAGCAGGTGGGAGCCAGCTCCTTGGGAGCATTGGCTCCCATCTGCCCCCCTCTCTTTTCTCCCCTCCCCCACTGCCTCTATGGGAGGCAGCAGGGTTGGGGGGGAAGCGACTCCAAGGATCCAGCTCCCCATGTGTACGAGCTCCAACCTTGCCGTGTGGAGGAGGGAAGGAGGCAGGCAGCATGTGGAAGCCAGTGCTCAGGGAGGCAGCAGCATGACAGGGTGTACCCTGTGAGCATGAGCTACCACCTGCACCTCCTCCCACCACACTGCCTCTGTGGGAGGCAGCAGAGAAGGGGGAAAGCAGTTCTGTGGAATCTGTTACAAGTGGAGAGCTGGCTATAAAGCCAGCCCCCACACTCCACCCCCCCCCCCCCCCCCCCGCTCCCGGCCCCCCGCCTGCCCTGCCACTCTTCCCTCCCTCCCCCACACACACGTTTGTATTGGAGGCAGTGGTGGGACTTCATGTTGAGGATTTTAAAAGGTGGGTAACTGACTAATCATGTAATCGATACAATTTGTATAGACTATTAGACACTAAAGGAAGATGCTCTGTCCAGGCTCATGCTGGTTCAGGAGGTAGCCTGGCTCCTGCAGCAGGGATAAGTACTGGACCAGCATGCACTGGGACAGAGCAGGAGCACTGCAGCTCTGCATTTTAAATTTAGTTTGTAGTGCTGTTTCCCTCCCCCCGCTGCCTCAGGGGAGCAGCCTCTGTCCACAGCCAGCCCCAGCTGCTGCTGTTACCTCTGCACACGATGAGCCTGGGCTCACTGTAGGCAGAGACTGCTTTGCAGCAGCCTCCCTTTACCCCCCTCGCCCTTTAAATTGCCCTCCCCTATTGAGAGAACTAGCTTTTAAGCTGGCACTAGTTCTTATTCTCCCCCCACCTTTGATACAGAGGTGGAGGGGGGGAGTGAGTAGTTGACTCGACTGCTCATTTACATTCCTACTGTGTATAACCATTAGGAGTAACTGATGCGCCTCCAGACTCATCCTGTAAATGGCTACATGTTCCCATCCCTAATTGTATGGGTTTTTTAAGTTTGCACATTTTACAGCAGAAGTGAGAACAGTATGGTTTTATAATTAAAAAATGGATAAAGTTATTTTACTCAATTGAATTTGAGCAGAGATTAAACTTTAAGTCTTCTCACAGAAAGTCTTTCAGAAAATAAAGGATATGTGGTAACGCAACACTGTAATGTTTCAATTGAACCTAAACTATAGCTTTTATGAAAACTAAATATTACACAATTTGATTTTAAAAAACCCACTAACTTGCGGTACCAAAACCAGAAATGGAAATAGATTAACATCTTATCACTGGCTTACGGGACATGTAATAAAAACAGTTACGTTTAGAAATTGTTTTTCTACTCTTATGCCTAAATATTCGTTACAGAATATCTTTTCTCTATTCAGTTTGTTTACTTTGTTCATTTAACTGCACTTTTGTGCCTGATACAAAGCTTACTGGAGTCAGTGGAAGTCTTTCCATTGATTTCAGTTGGCTCTGGGTTTATACCCTTTGGGTGTGTGTTTGCCAAATAAACTAAAATTTACATGGCTCCGTTGAGCCATGTAGTCTAGACATACCCTTTCTGTGTAGTTACCCTGTTTTCCCTATGTAGACTGACAGATGGCAGTCTTGGGATGGTTCATGTGCACAAGTCTTTTTTCCTTATTTGTGTAGCTTTTTCAGAGATTAGCAGGACATTTTTCTGGGTTTTTCAGCTATTTATAAAATCACAAACTGGCAGAGGGACTCAGGTGTATGTTTAGTACTTGAAATTACTTTTAACTTTTTTAATTGACAAGATTTCAAGTAGATGGCACTTTTATTTTTTGCTTGCTTTTAAATTTTTAATTTATGCTTTCTAATAGCATACATGGTTAAAAGGACTTTTTCATTTTTGGTAATAAACATATAGGAAAATACTTAATTCTTTTTGTGATTGTCCCTTTACTGCTGTAACTTATGATTAAATATTACATATCAATCAATATAGTCTCCATTTTATATACAGTAATATTTATCTCAACATGTTGAAACACTTGGCAAATATGAAGTCCCAATGCATACATATAATATAATATCTCCATGTTATAAAAGGGGAATCTGATTCAGCAAGGTCACCTAGAGTTGGTGGCAGAACTGGAAATAGAATCAAGAGTGTGCACTCCTGCTTCCATGTTCTGGCTATTTGTACACACTCTCATAAAGTCTCTAATTTTACGTTACTTAAAACAGCAACATTGAAGAGGATGTGAGAGAATGGGAATCTGAGTACTCACTACCTTTCTAACTTTAAGGTGTCTTCTAGAAAAAAAATGCATATGTAGCCTCAGTCTCTCACTTCCCAGAATCCTTTTCGTCCTTTCAGAGTCAGTGGTCATAAGGTGAAATTAGACATCTTTCTGATTCTGAAAGGTGCTACCTTTTACCAGCCTGTTGCCTGTGGACATTCAGCAGAATCATACTTTCTTATTTCTTTGACAATTGTTTGTTTTTTATTCATTAGCTTTATTGCCTTTGTTGTGCTAACTTTTTTTTATGAATTTTGTATCACTAACAGAAGTAACTACATTTCAGTTACAAAATCTTTTTCTGGCAATGTACTAGCCAGAGGGGGAACGCAACTTGATTTGCAGGTTCCTGGTTGAATTTGCCAGAGAAGCATTAAATGAAAGCCTCTTCTAAAGTGAATAAGTTTAATATGGAAGTTACTGATTTGTAGTAACCATGAAACCTTAGAATGCTACTTTCAGTCTGTTGCTTTTGAATATAAGGTGAAACTTGTAAGCAACCACAAGGTAGTAGGGGATGTTAAATATCAGTTAATTGAATAGTTGATAAACTTCATTAGTTCTTATCAGCTACTTGACTATTCTAAAATCCCCAGGGGTGTGGCTGATAGCCAGTGTGCTCTGGCCCCACTCCCGAAGAGCCCCCTGACACTTGTTTAAAAACCAGCTCCCCTTGCAGACCGACTGTCTGTTGGCCTGCACTGCATGGGGTGGCAGCAGCACCTGTCCCGGGGGGGCAGGTCTGAGCTCCTAGAACTGGTGCGAACCAGAACTGAGCCAGGCTGTCTGTCCACCTACCACCGTATACACTTTAAATGCAGTGCCGCAGCAGGGGTAGGTCCTGGACCCAGAACAAGCCAGCAGCCCAGCTCAGTTCCAGCCAGCCTGCTAAAAAATTTACTGGTGGGGGTGTGGAAAGCATGTAGTCTGTAGCAAAAGCTTATAGGTTAATGCTTACTGGTTAATCAGTTAATTGACTACACTATTACATCCCTATAAGATAGTGACACAAATGTCTAATGGAGATGGTTTTCTAATAAAGAAGTAGGTTGGTACTAAAGAACATGATTCTCCACAGTCTTGCACCTTGTGTAGTCATACTTGTTTAAAATACATGTACTATATTCTAGTCTGAGTTGGCAGCTTTTTATACCTACTTTGTACTTCCTGTGCAGAGGTAGAATTGCTGCAGTAGCTAAAAGTCAGTAGAGAATCAGTCTCAGACATTCGGTGATACTTGACAGAAGAGATCTCTTGAACTAGTTTCACTATTATATGTCATTTCAAATGGAAGCAGTGTTGAGTCAGTAGTATTACTGGGGGGAGGAAAATCTAATTCATTTAACTTTGAATGAAGGAGTTTAAGGGGGAAAAAAGGGAGGCTTGCTGATTTCACTTGAAACTTACTTTGGTTGTATATAAAGCTTAATAATTTTGTGGCAATCACAGTTTATAGCTGTACTCTATTGCATTTCTTAAATCAACCACATTAGACATGTCAAGATTTTAAAATAAAAGTGAAAGTATTTGTGTATTTTAACGTCATTCATTTTTTCATTCTTTTAAAGCTTACCCCCCACTTATATGTACAAATGAGGCCTGTGGCACCTTAAAGATTAATTTGATCAAGTGGATTTTTACCTAAATAAATCTGTTAGTCTTTAAGGTACCACAAGATTTCTTGTTTTTGCAGATTCAGAATAATAGGATTACCTTTCTGACATTTAAATGTCAGTTATTTTGATGGAGGCACAGACTTATCACGGTGATTATTAACTTGTCTTAAAACAGATGAAATAGTTATTTATGAGTACAGATAGGGATCTCCCTGGTCTGGTGACCTTGGGACCTGACTGGTCCTCGGATTCTGCCAGGGGAGGTCATTCCTGGACCTCCTGCTACCACCCCATGTCCTGTCTTCCCACCCCACTAGGCTTCCAGGCAGCCCAGCTGGGTCGCAAGCCAAATTTCTTGACCCCACCCCTTGTGATTTCCCAGCCCCATGCCAGGTTTTCAGTGCTGCCTTCCCCAGCCCAGCTGAGACATGCATGCTTGGCTCCCTAGCCCCCCTCTCTCCTCCCCTTCCCC